ACAATTAACAATTATAATGGAAATATTACAAGAAAGTGTCATCTTGGAAACAGTAGGCTAGACTATAATAAATTAATAAATTTTATTCAGTTAAATTAATAAATTTATGGCTTATTACTAAATTTACTAAGAATGAATAAAATTAAAAATATAACATTTCCAGGGAATAGCACAGAAAAAGAAGCATCGAATACGTATAACTCACGGTTGTACTACACCCTGGAAGTGAATTTATTAGTGTTAGTACTTTCACTATCATTAGCCTTACCAATATAAGATCTAGCTTTCACTAAAATTAAATGCAACAAACACTGGCTCGGTGTTTACTCGATAAGTCCAGTCAAAAAAGAGATTTTTAGCGGAAAAAATGTATAAAGAGATTAAATTTTGCACACATACTCCTGTAGGCTATGCAAATAAAGATTAAAAGGGTTCCCCTCCATCCGACTGCAGCAACCCCTATGAGGGGGGGCCTTTTTACTACATTTTCCAATTTGTTTGGAAAACGATGCATCAAACGAAAAAAGTCTATGTGAAATAAAATATTGGAAATAAAATTCTTCACAAGATTAAATATATAAAATTTTGCCCCAGGGGTTATATTTTTTGCGTAAACAAGACCGGAAGTGGAAGGCGAGTTTGGGCGTAGATCAAGATATTTCCGTCTCGCGCTCAGTTTCCCTTCAATATCTCTCAAACGACTGATTTCGCATTAAAAATGCACATATATTAAATTTTAGAGTAGGAAGTACTCTATTTGGGGATGTGAGATACAAGTTTTATGATGTTTTAAATATTTTCTAATTCATCCTCATTTCCACACCACCCATGATAGGCCTAATCCACTCATTTCTTGCTTAAGATGTTTTCATTAAAGGGCAGTAATTTCCTCATCCTCTGTTAAAATAAGGTCATCTGTGGGATTCTCTATGAATGTGGAATTTAGGCAGTTAGTGCCAGCTCTACTTCCAAGATATGGATTTTCTTCATCTCAACATGCCATACAATGAGTTTCACAAATTTACATCAGAGGCTTACTTCACAATTAGACGTTCAGAAAAATACTGGTGTGGTGTATGGTCTGATATGACAATAGAAAAGACTCTGATGAGAAACATGAAGAGTATTGGAGGCATCACTCATGGGAGAGGCTTCACCGAAAGTGTTCTAAATAAATAGATCTTTGGTTTACCTGTAGCTCACCACGTATGTAAAAATGCAGAAGAGTTTTGTGGAGTTCGGACCAGCAGCAGCTTTCAACATATTGAATTTAGGGATTCATGGATAGGAAAGGATGAAGAGGATGTTCAGAAGTTTGTTGTATGGCTTCAACATCACTGCCCATTCATCAGTGCATAAAGATAATGGATGAATCTCTGAGAAATAAAGAAATATTTGGCAAATTAAAAGTACAGTGCAGCAAAAGAGTGAAGCCAATTTCTGCTACCACTACCAGTGTTAAAGTTGCAGATGACATCATACAGGTTGATTCGACTAAATTATTTCAGCGATTAATTTGCACTGTAAAGTTACCTGAAGACTTGAAGATATGTTTCAGTCATGAGTTGGCTTATGTCCCGTTGTCCATATTTGATGAGAATGGATTAATGAGAAAGACGAAGAAGTCTTCTCTGTACATCATATTCAACAATGTCAAAGAAAGTGTAATTCATCAATCAGGAGCTAAGTACAGTAAGTCATTAATGGAGGTAACTTGATCCATCGTGTTATTTGGCCGAAGCAAGGTACAGTCGGCCAAAGATCCAGCGACCCCACCCTGGGTCTCGTACTGACAATTTTACCTGGCAATACTTGGTAAAATAAGGCTGTACGTAAAGTGATTGTGATTGGTGGATCTATTTTCGGCTGTATTACTGTCAGGATAAATACTAAACAATCCAAAGTTAAAATTTGTATAATAATAAACTATTCATTGTTATTTAAGATCATAAAAAATTTCGAAATGTTCGTATATTTACTAAAATAATGAAAAAAGCTATTTTAATGAATTGGCAGCTCAACTACAACAAGGGCTGCCACAAGATTCTCAGACCAAATTATCTTAAATTTTTAACCAAATATACGGACATTTGGAAACTTCTCATGACCTGAAATAACAATGATTTTTTTTTTACTGTGATTAGTCCACCCGGGCACAGGTCATAGTGACCCACATCGGGGCTGGGGGGCGAAAATGTAATAATAATAATAATAATAATAATAATAATAATAATAATAATAATAATAATAATAATAATAATAATAATAATAATAATAATAATAATTCATAATAGAAATAAAAATAATGAAATAATAATAATAATAATAATAATAATAATAATAATAATAATATTAAAATTCAAGAGTGAGAAACAATATATGTATGTTGTGTTGTCAAAGTAAGAGAAACAATTGAGACCCTACAATTGTGTGTAAATGAGGCAGGGTACAAGGAAGGGTACAAGGAAGCTTTGGACATATTAGAAAAACGTCACGGCAACAAGCACACTTACGTCTGTCAGCTTATAAAGAAGGCCCTGCGAGGTCCAACTGTGAGACTAAATGACGCGAAAGGTCTCCAACAGTTCTCAGACGAACTGGGGAATTGCGTGAGGAATTTGAAGGTTCTGGGAGAACTACATCACACTGACATATATGAATCAATAGGTACGTTAGCTGAGAGATTCAAGGGAAAGATAAGGGACGGCTATGTGGATAAGGTGCATAAATACAAAAGGAAGCAAAGGAAGCCTCCTGGGATCGAGTGGATGTTGGAATTCACACTGGATATGGTCGACAAGGCGGAGGAGGCCCCAAAGGGACCAGGACCTGAGGAACCAAGCAAAATATTTGCAGACTCACCCTCACGCCAATCTTCGTCGAGGAAGAAACTTTTGGGTTTGGTGACATCAGGAATAAAGACAACCAGAAAAACGGACGATGAACGCTACTCGTTATGCCGCGGAGATCACCTTCTTCAGATGTGCCGGAAATTCCTCAGCATGTCCACGGGAAAGCAAACTTCCCTCGTAAGGGAAGAGTGTCGCTGCTTTGCCTGCCTGGGTCGTAATCACCGGATAACGGAGTGCAAACAGAAGATGGTATGTGGTATAGATTGCTGCTCTGGAGTACACTCGAGGCTTCTGCACTTCACGGGAGTTTTGACGAGCAGTGGCAAGGTCCAATGGGGCGAAGTTGAAAGAGGTGAACACCAGACCAGTTTCCAAAGGGTGAAGAGAGCAATCACTGGGGACGCCTACCAAATAGACATATCACCTGACCACAAGAGACCTAGAATGAATCAACTTACAGCCATTATGCCACCACCGGAATCGGCAACTAGTAGAGTTAAATCATGGAAGACCGAAGCCGGTACAAGCACCATGGGGAAAAGGACTGGGAGTACACAAAACGTGCTGGTGACTACGAATAGAGGAAATTCGCATAGATGGGTCAGGGAAACCATAACCAACAACGGATTTGATGATCGGCAGGAAGAACCCAACGATTGCCAGTTATGACTACAAGGGTCCAGTAGAGTCGCACTTCCAATAGTGAAAGTCAGGGTGCAGGAGAAGAACCAAGAGGCGAAAGGAGCAGTGGTCACCGGAGCTCTCTTGGATTCAGGCAGCAACTGTCATACTGCACGCGTAGCCTAGCTAACCGGCTGCAGGAGGAGGAAAGGCCAGTTCCCCTCTCCATTGGCACGATCATGAAAGAAAGAAATAGTGTAAACACCGAAGAGATCAGTGTAAAAGTGGCTAGCGTAGGAGTACGAAAGAGCCAATCCATCACTATCCCACAGGTCATTGTTGTTGAGAATCTACCGTTTTCTCTGAGAGCGTCGGTCGCAGACACCCAAGATGTCACCATGTGGGAACATCTTCAAGGTACTGCACTACGCCAAGCACCGAAAAGATTGGATCTCCTGATAGGTCTGGACGTACCACAAGCACTATTACCGTTAGAAGTAAGGACCGGGAAGGACGGAGAGCCGTTTGCAACATGCACCCTTCTAGGCTGGACTAAAAATGGACCGCTTGGAGCGGTGAGACGTGATTATGCCGTGATCAACCACTTTGTCAGAATGGCAACACTAAATTCGGAGACAAATCTGGAAAAAGAAGTAAGGCACTTCTGGGAATGCGACTCCGCCAACAGTAACGATGATCCCGTCTCTGTCGAAGACAAGAGAGTCCTAATGCAGTGGTCAACGTTAATTACTCAAGTGGACGAACACTACCAACTTCCCATCCAGTTTCGCCATGAAGAACCAGGACTCCCAGACAATAAGAATCTTGCGATTGCCGGGATTAATAAAATGCCTCCTGAAGAACCCAGGGCTCTCTCAGAGGTATCAAGACGAGATGAGACGTCTAATCAACGAGGGACATGCCGAGCGAGTCCCACGTCAAGAACTCAGTGCTGCACCCGGGAAGACCGGGTATCTCCCACACCACCCTGTGTTGAATCCCAATAAGCCAGAAAAGGTGAGAATAGTTTTTGATTGTGCAGGCGAGTACGAGTCGATGTCGTTGAACAGCCAGATGATACAAGGACCAGATCTTAACAACAATTGATGGGAGTCCTCATCAGATTCAGACAAGGAAAGGTGGCACTCATGGACCATATCGAGGCAATGTTCCACCAAGTGCGAGTCGTACCCGAACATCGAGACGTCTTACGATTCTTATGGTGGACGGACGACCAGCTGTCAAGGGCCCCACCACTTACCGAATGACAGTACATCTCTTTGGAAGTGTGTGGAGCCCTTCATGTGCCGGGTATGCGCTACAACGAACATACCATGATTACAGGGAAAGTCTCCATGACGACATCAAGAAAGCGAATCGTAACGTTTACGTTGACGAACCGCTTCTCTCAGTAGATTCGCCGGGTAAGGCACCGATAATTACCCATAATTACCCATCGGCTGAGACAGCTTTTTTCTTCTTTTTTTTACGGGGATTAGCCCACCCGTGGGAGTAAAGGAAGTAATTATGAAAGACGACAGGCTCTCGACTGGACGATCGTTGGGAAACTTGTGGGACCTGGAAAGGGACGAACTAGTGGTCCGGGTCCAGATCCCTAAGAAACAGAAGACAAAACGAGGCCTTCTGAGTATCGCCAGCTCCATATATAACCCACTGAGACTCATCACTCCGAGCATCATAAGAGCCAAAATCATACGCCAAGATGAGTGTAGACGAGGTGTTGGGTGGGATGAACGAATGGCTAAACAGAACAAGGTGGCATGGCGAAGATGGCTAGATGAACTTCCTCACCTATCACGGGTACACGTTCCACGGTGCTACCGACCCCAGGACGCAAATCCAGTGGCTGCCGTGCAACTACACCATTTCTGCGACGCCTCCCAATTAGAGTATGGAGCTGTATCGTATCTGAGGACCACGTGTGAAGATGGAACCCACCATATCTCCTTCATGCGTGGCAAGGCCAAGCTAGACCCTCTGAAACAGCAGACCATACCTCGACTCGAGCTCTGAACGGCAGAACTGGCTGCCAAGGCAGACAAACAACTACGACGAGAACTTGAATTACAAATAAACAGATCAGTGTTCTGGACAGACAGTACGGCAGTCCTTCAATACATACAAAACACCGAAAGACGCTTCCATTGCTTCGTGGCCAATCGAGTGGCAATGATAAACGAGAACTCCAATGCAGAACAATGGCGCCACGTGATGTCGGCACAGAACCCAGTCGTCGAAGCTAGTCTTGGACTGCATGAAATAGAGCTCAACGAGGGGGGCAGGTGGATTCGGGGACCTGCTTTCCTCTTGTTGGAAGAAGACAGTTGGCCAAAGAGTCCATTGAGGATTCCAGACCTCACAGACGGGGACCCAGAGGTGAAGAAGGAAACCATGGTGCTGACGACGAACGCTGACCAGGCGGAGGTTATCTTCGATAAGCTATGGGCCAGGTACTCCTCGTGGAATCGACTTTTGAAGAGCGTAGCGTGGATTAGAAGGTTTATAGAATGGTGGCTTTGGAAGCGAAAAAACAAACATCACTGAGAAAATCGGCTCTTGTTCAGCGAATTAGAAGATGCGAAATTAGCCTTCTTAAGATTTATGCAAAGGAAAGGTTTCCCTCGAGAACTAGGAATGTTACAAAAGGGACAACCCACGAGAGGTAGCGACGTGAGTCGGATGGAACCTCATCTCGACACGGACGGTTTGATCAGAGTAGGCGGCCGACTGAAACTTGCCGCTCTCCACCCAGACCAGAAAAATTCCATACTGTTGCCGAGGGACAACAGCATCACGGGGCTCATCGTGAGAGAGGTACACTCGACTAGAGCTGGACACTCAGGACTAGAACTCACTCTTGCCATAATACGTGAGAAATAATGGATACCTAAGTGCCGCAAATTACTCGACCGCACATTACGGACGTGTGTGACTTGTCGGAGGAGCAACTGGAGGCCTACCCATCAACGCCAAGCCGACCTGCCAGAAGATCGAGTGCGCCCAGGAGGTCGGCCGTTCACCAATACTGGAATTGAGTGCTTCGGCCCTTATGTGGCTAAACAAGGCCGAGCCCGGGCGAAGAGATGGGATGTTTGTTCACCTACCTGACCACCAGAGCCATACACCTAGAAGTCCTCACCTAACTAGACACCGACTCGTTCGTCAACGCCCTGACAAGATTCGCCTGCCTCAGGGGACCCCCCAAGCATATTTGGTCTGACAGGAGAACCAACATGTGTGGAGGTAGCCGAGAGTTACGAGAGGCGGTGAGCGGCTGGAACAACAGTGACAAGGTCGGGAATGCCTTCCTACAGAAACAGATAGAATGGCAGTTCAATCCCCCGACAGCCTCTCATATGGGAGGGGTGTGGGAGCGACAAATCCGCACTGTAAGGAAGGTCCTCCAGGGAGTGGTGGGCACCCAGACACTACACGATGAGCGCCTCAACAGTTTGTTCTGCGCCGAAGAAGAGATCGTCAACGGAAGGCTCATCACCCCAGTGTCTGACGACCCATAGGATCTAGAAGCACTAACGCCGCTTCACATACTACGGATGAACCCGGAGACACTGCCCACCGTAGGCGATCGGTCCATGGAAGAAGCGTACCGACGAAGATGGAAGCATGCCCAATCATTGCGGACTAATTTTGGAAGAGGTGGGTAAAGGAGTATCTCCCGACTCTACGTCAGCGATAAAAATTCTTCGAAACTCGCTGTATTCACCACGCTGGGAATATCGTGATCATCTCTGGACAATCTCTCTCCAGGAGTCAGTGGATGCTAGGGAGAGTACTGGAGGCACTACCGAGCGAAGATGGCCTGGTGCGAAGTGTTAAAGTGAAGACAAAGGACTCCGTGTTAATACGCCCAGCGACGAGACTCTGTCTGTTGGAAGGGGTCGGACACTGAATCTAATGGTAGGCCGTAATTTCGAGCGAAGCCCGACAGGGGAGTGTTATCACCACGCACAATTGCGTGCCGGCCACATGTTAAGTGAAGAGACTGTTTACAACCCAGAATAGCTTACTAAGCGAGATGGAGCTGGTAGCAGCTGTGTGACCGCCTGAGGGGCAGACTGTCGCCTTCTACTGTAGAGGCAACATCTTGATTCTCGTCAGCCAACATCTTCCTGCAGGACATTATTTTTGTTCTCGTTGGTCTAACCCTAGACCCGAAAACGTGAGTGTGATTGTGAAGTGTTGAATCCTCTGAGAACTCTAAATAACTTTAATAAGTGTAATTATGTACTGTATATTGATCATATTATTCAAACTGTGTGTCCTGATGAATCAGCAGTTGTCACATGTGAGTTATATTTTATATTTAACAAGTTATGTACTGTATAGTGACCGTATTATTTAAACTGTATGTCCTGATGTACCAGCAGTTGTTATATGTGAATTGTATTCAACAGGTTTTGACCGAATTATGCTCATCGCATCAGCGACAAGGGTCTTATTGTCCTGCACAAGCCAAAATATCTCCTATGAGCGATTACACCAACTGATGAGCGGAATTATGCTCCTATTGACCAACTATATCTGGGGCCTGACATGCACTCTCATTTTCAAAGGGATGACATAGGAAAGCAACAACAAATGGTCAGGGATGTTAAGTTTAGATGCCGTCAATTTCTTATTACCCTGTGCATTCAGATTAAAAAAAGATTTTGCCTTGACAACAAATTACAGTGGTTTGCTAGCTTTCTGACTCCGAAAAAGGTATTAAGCATTGATTCCAGATGAGTTATTCCCACCCTTTCAGAGTTTGTTAGGAAGTACCCCGTATACATGGAGATATTCATATGATAGATGATGAATGGCGGTCTTTGGACTGGTGCACGTTACCTGACGAGATTAAAAATACAAATTGCAATATTGTAGAGCTTTACACGAAACTCATAAACTTTGAAGATAATGCTGGAAATAAGAAATTCCTCAACTTTCACAATTTGCTCTGCAGGTGTTATCACTCCCCACATCTAATGCTGATGCGGAGAGATTATTCTCCAAACTAAATTTGATAAAGTCAATGACCCGCAATGGTCTAAAATTAGATTCTATTACAAGTCTCCTGTCCCTGTCGCAACGTGTGAGAGCACAGGGTGGAAGTAAAAATATTAAGCCAAGTCAGGATATAATGAATATTGTATTTCCATAACTTGTTTGCATATATATATATATATATATATATATATATATATATATATATATATATATATATATATATATATATATATATATATATATATATATATATTTATATGTGTGTAACCGGTCGGAATTTACTGGACTTTATTTTCTCACTTGACTTGGGGATTATTAAAGATTATTAGATGGTAATGGCAGTGGAAGCGCCCCTTAGTGAGAAATCCCGAACCAGCACAAGAGCACTTAAATTTACTAACAAAATTAATTGTCCGTGACCCGTGGAAGGATAGCGTCTGTGACTGGGATGAATGAGACATACTGTAAAATTTAGACACTGATATTCCCTCCAACACTACAAACACAATCAAATAATGGTACACCAATATGCGCACCTCTTAACTTGAACTTAAAACACTACTCTGGGGAATAAAAGTTATAAATGATATTGAAATTATTAGAAACACAGGCAACAATAAATTTAAAGTATTAAGAAATGTTGCTTGCACACATGAAACAGGCCTTAAGGGCTTTCAACAAAATGATATCACCCCAACAGATGCACAACTCCTAACCTAACTTAAACACTACTCTGGGGAACAAAAGTTATACATGATCGGAATTATAAAGAAAAATTAAATGCATTAAAGAAATTAAATCACAGTATCACTCTGGTTCCACTTAGTGACACAAACATTCAAATACAATACTATCAAAATCAATTAAGAACTATTACTACACACGTCAAGATAATATCAGTACCTCAAAAAATGGTACTAACTACACACAAAAATATTGTCACTATTATTGGGATGTTACTGGGTCCACCATTACTCGTGGACCATGCTCCACCCAATTCAACATACACCCGTAATAAGGGAGATAAAATGATTCTGTAGGTATCCCCTAGACTCCTGGTCTCAGTGTGTGACCATAATCTACTCAGATAGCCTCAGTGTACTCTCAGTGCGTCCATGGGCGGGAAGAGAGAATGCCAGCAGGTGACTATGGCCAGTAGGTAATACTTCTAGCTGACCGAGGGCACGTGGTGTTATGCACCCACGTAGTAAGAACTGATCACCCAATGCTGATGCTGGTCCCGTGTCGTTTTAGTTGTCGGGAGCACTCGTCCACTCAAGAGATCCTTTGCTACCCCGCTAACCAGTGACAAGCCTACACTGATCGTTCCAACGGCGACAATCGCCAATCCTCAATCATCACGGCAGTCTCAAACGGCAGTCAATCTCTCGCAGTCAAACTCGCGGTCAAGTGGTTTCTGACGGAAACCCTGAAATGAACTCACTGTTAGCTCTTGTTAACTTTACCACTGCCCTATCTAAACCCTGTCTGAGATCGAATGAGACTTACTTGTTATGCTGCAATAACGCAACACAGGTGACTAGGCCACGTGACTATTTCTGTGACGGACGCGCAGGGACGTCTTGTTTGTCTGAATGCTTCCCCGTGACTGAGAGAGAGCCCGCCTCGTGTCCTCTCAAGGCGTTAGCTTAGGCCTACGTGACATATTTTCCGCCTAACTAATAACTCCTTGAGACACCCGTAACATTATTCAGACTGATAAACGATCTATAATAATTTCAAATTCAATAATAGTCCCTTAACTTCATGAATCGCATCATTATTAATTCGGCAAATTACATTTAATATCACTTAGGCCTAGTTCCACAACCTCTCGCTATGTTCAGGGAGCGCGCTCTTCCCTCGGACGACCTTGAAAGCTCAGTATCGCCAATGGCGCGGCGTTTGAAATTACACTGAAATTTCTGAATATTACAATCGACCCCCCATAAAAAAAGACAGCACTGTCCTCATGTGCTGAGAAAAACATGCATACGACCCCCCTA